GCAAATATCTTGTAACCGAGTGGGAGGAGGCTGATGGGCCTGTAGTTGTTGTAATCCCCTGGGTTGCCATTTGTGTAAATCATCTACAATTTTGTCTTATGCCAAGCCTCGGGTACTTAATAAATGCCCCATACCAGATTGCAGAAGCGAATGATCCATGCTATAGTGGGAGTGCCGTCGTCGGTCGCCGCCCGCCAACTCAGGAGGGATGTCGTCGGAGCCTCCTGCTTCGCCTCGCTTGAGTTTGCTGGCAGACTTCCTCACTTCTTCTATGATGTCACCAAGGTTGATGGGGAAGACGTTTGCGTGGAGCGCGTCCACCGGCATAACCGTCGTCGGCCGCACCGCCCATTGCATTTTTTCCAAGTGGTCTGCCAATGTTCTTGGTCTATGGTCGCTGTCTACCAAATCCCCACTCGCATTCTTCCTGCTGGCTTTCAGGGGGCAAAATCTTTCATTAAGCTCACGAATATGGTCCTTGTCGCCTGTATCAGTAAGCCTGTCCATCCACGCGGCCTGGTCCTTCGACAGCTGTTTTGATTATCTTGGCAAGCCGCTTTTCTTCATCGATGTCGCCCGGGCGCCTGGCTGAAAAGCGCCTGTCCATGAGTTCTACGGTGTGAGGTCGTATCCAAGGCGTCATGGCACGGGCTGGTCTTGTAGGCCGCGCTCGTCGATGTACGGTGGAATCCGTCAACCAGCTGACACCAAGCCAGATTCACATGCCCGTGGTCAGGCGCAGAGTCTGCGAAGTCCTCCAAAGACTCAGCCAACAGAGAAGTGGAGCGGTGTTTTCTAGCACTCTCCATAAGGCTGCACACATTTGGTCCAGATTTCTGCATGGTCGGCGAAATCTTGTCCACAATGATCCAGACCTGGGCTTTCCGCAAGAAGTGGTGCGAAGACAACGGGGCGTCTGGACAAGCACTGACGCTCAATACATTGTTCAACCACTTCTGATCGCAAGCCAATAAGTCGATTTGATCATGAGTGCGCCAGTCGATCTCTTGTTCAGCTGGGCAACCCAAGTTATAGCACGTGACCAACTGGCGCTGCGACAACGAGAATAATGCATTCGCAAGACATATCTGTAGCTGAGCGCATGTCTCCACAAACAAATATCTATTCGCATCGGGCTTTCATATCTGGCCTGGGTGAACAAAGACATGGGGCCCGATGACATACACGTCGTCATCGAACTTTCCGTACAGCTTAGAATTAAAATCCCCTATAAGCAAGTCAGGTCCATGTTCAGAACGTGACGCAATGAAGTTTCCGAGGTCATAGTAGAAGCCTTGCCGCTTTTGGTAGTCATATCCACTATGAGGCGCATAAGCCAAGAATATCACGTCCTTGCCGCCTGTTTCGTCGACTTAAGGCCCCTGTGGCTACACTGGAATGCCGCCGGCCCTTCAGTTAGACACACCCCTCACACGCTTCGTCGACCCAGAGGGAGTCCCACCTCAGGCCCCAGTGGTTGCGCCCGCATGCCGCCACCCCTTCATTTTGGTAGACACCCCACCACGCTTCGTGGCCCCATGTGGGAGCTCCACCGAGTGCCCCATTGGCGGTGTTCGCATGCGTTTCCCCCACCCAGTACAGCGCTTCGTGGCCCCATGTGAGAGCTCCACCGAAGGCCCCAGTGGCGGTGTTCGCATGCGTTTCCCTCACTCAGTACAGCGCTTCGTGGCCCCATAAAGGACCTCCACCGAAAGCCCAATGACGGTGTTCGCATGCGCGTCGCCCACCCCGTGCAGCGTTTCGATGCCCCATAGGGAGCTCCACCGAAGGCCTCAGTGGCGCTGTTCGCGTGCATCTCCCCCGCCCAGTAAAATATTTCTTGGCCCCATATGGAACTCCACCGAAGGCCCCCGTGGCGGCGTTCGGCCTCACATGGGAGCTCCACCGAAGGCCCCCGTGGCGGTGTTCGCATGCGTCCCCCCCACCCAATACAGCGCTTCGTTGCCCCATGGGGAGGTCCACCGAAGGTTTCAGTGGCGGTGTTCGCATGCGTCTCCCCGGCCCAGTGCATTGGCGACGTTCGCATGGCGGCCCCGATTCATTTTGGCACACCCGTCACACGTTTCGTGGCCCCAGAAGGAGCGCCACCAAAGGCCCGAATGGCTGCGCCGGCATGCGTCCCCGCCCAATGTCCGAACACCCTTTACACGCTTCGTGCCCCCATAATTAGATCCACCGAAACTGATACAGTCGGGGCCTTGAAGAAGGAACGCTTTTCGTTGGGGAGGGGCTCGGTGTTCCTTGATTGTTTTAACGTTTGCCTCGGGTTAGCCCTTAGGTTTTTGCATGGGAAATCGAAGTTCAACTTATGGAAAAGAGGGGCCTCGTTCCTTATTTGGGGTTCCTTAGGTCAACGCCCCGACTGTACCCACAACGGCGATACGCACAAATTTTGTGGGGCCTTGCGCCAGGAAGATTTACATCATCCGGAACGTGCTGGCCGTTGCCCAGTCCTCTCCCCCTTTTCTGTATGGAACGAGTTCGGCCCCTGGTTCCATCGCACACATTCGCTGGCCCCAGGCGCACGCGGCGGACGCAGGCGCGAGCAGTCGCCGCGCCGCCGCTTGGCTCGCGCGCGCCGCGGCGCGCTGCAGGCGATGTGGGCAGGCCCGCGCGCCCCCGCGCGCGGCCGCTGCCCGCCGCGGCCGCGCGCAGGTACCACAGGTTTGTGTGTGCCTGGGGCGCGCGCCCCGCGCTCGGGATTTGATCCACCCGTGCCCGCCCCGTTTCCCGCCCGTTGCTGGGTCGTGCTGCGACCAGCACCGAGGCCTCGTGGCGCCCGCGCCCTCTCGGCGCGGCGCAGGCTTCGGCGCGCGCCCAACGCTGTGGTTGCAGACGCAACCCAGCTACGGGTGAGCGGGGTGGTCAGCGAATTTGTGCGAGCTACGGTAACGATGATCGCGCGTAGGGGCGGGTCTGGACCACACACGCACACGTACAACACACACACACACACACATTCGCACACACGCACGCACACGCACACATACGCACACACACACACATACACGCACACGCGCACGCACACGCACACGCACGCTGGTGCTCGCGCGCCTACTACTGCGATCGCAGCGCACCCCCCGCCCCGACGCGCCCCACCCTGCCCAGGCGTTACCTTTGCCCGGGCCCCCCCCCCCCCACCCCCCCCGGAATCGGGGGCGGAAAAGAGGGGGGTGATGACTAGGGGGGGGTGGATATCATGGCGTGGGCCATGATATTTCCCCAGGTTTCATGGCGCCTCTTCTTATTTCGTTACGTTCCTGGCCCCCCCGTTGGGCCGCGCGCGTGCCGCCGGTCACGATTTGCCCCCCCCCTCTTGGACACCCCCCTCTTGGCCGCTCCCGACGGTAGCGACCGGTGCCAGAGATAATACCTTTACGACCACCCACCCTTCGGGTGATAAGGAGGTTCGGGGAGGGGAGGAACCAACGTCTCACTCGATCGGTCCCACTATCGATCTCACTATCGATCTCAGTGTCGGTCTCGCTCGATCGATATCCCTCGATCGATCTCACAATCGACCTCACAATCGATCTCACTCGATCTCATTCGATCTATGGCACAGTCGATCTCACTCGATCATCATCATCATCATCATCGTCCTCATCAGCATCAGCATCATCATCAGCATCACCATCATTTTCATCATCAGCATCAACGTCAGCATCCACATCATCAGAATCATCAGCATCACCATCATCACCATCATCATCAGCATCATCATCATCATCTCATCATCATCATCATCATCATCATCATCGCGGGACACCGGCGGGACACCGCGGGGCACCGCGGGACACCGCGGGACACCGGCGGGACACCGCGGGCCACCGGCCGCCCGGAAGGGAGACATTTAGTCCGGCCGCGCCTCAGCCACACGGGACACCAGCGGGACACCGGCGGGACACCGCGGGCCACCGGCCGCCCGGAAGGGAGACATTTGGTCCGGCCGCGCCTCAGCCACAGGAGACTTTCTTCTCGCCCGCCCACGCAGCTTCGCCTCGCCCGCACGCACGGCGCGCACGAACACGAAACCGAAATCGATTTCCCGGTAGGGGGGCTCTCCGTTCCACTTCGATCTCACCCCCTCACCTCCGATTACAAAACGTATGTGTTTGCCTTTCGTTTTCATATCGTTTCCTCCGTTCTTGCCCCAGCTCAGCTTCGTTCCCCTTGGTGTGTGTTGACGGTTGACGGACTTAGGAGGCTTTCTGGAGGTTTCTTGGGGAAGGTCCCCGATCACTTGGAGAGTGCAGGGCATTGCGCGCATTCCATGCGTTCGTTGTGGTGGGCATTTTTCTTGTTGCGGCACTCCTTCTGTGTATCCCGAACGCAACTAGGGCAAGCCATAGGGCGGGGTTCTCGCCATGCGGCGCCCTGGGGCCGCATTTGGGCCCCAAGCCGTGGAAAAAGGAACAGCGCAAGCAGGAATCTTGAAAACAAAGGGATCTCGAGCGTCCAGCTCCCAACTTGCACGGCGGGGTGACTGTCACATTGATGTTGGTCCGGAAGTGAACAGCCAGGATTGGGGTCTGGTGCAAGGACGTAAGCAAATCAAGTCGTCTGAGATGTGTGCTTTCTTCCGCGTCTTGCGCTTCCCCCTCTTCCCCTCCCATCTGGTCCAGGCGCTGGGTTGCCCGAACAAAAGTTCGGCTTAGGATTGGATGAGACAGAGAAGGCTGACGTGGAGGAGGAGCAGGAGGAGGAGGAGGAGGAGGTTGATTAGTAGGAGAAGGAGGAGGCTGAGGAGAAGGAGGAATAGAGGAGGCCAGCGAGGAGGAAGAGGAGGAGAAGGAGGAGGAGGAGGAGAACTAGAAGCTGACGAGGATGTGGGAGGACGAGAGGGAAGAGGCTGATGCGGAGGGAGGAGGAGGAGGCGCACCAACAATGCCCATAGCCATTTCCAGCTGAAGCGCATCGCCTGCGGCCTGGTAGGAGGGACCTCAACGTAGTATTCTCGCCCAGCGAACTCCGAGGCCATGGCACGCGCGCAGGCCGGCTGCTTAGCACCTCTGGCACGGCAGGCTCTTGCCGCCTCGACGCGGCGGCGGCGCTGGCGCAGGGTCTCCAGTCGCAATGAAGTCGGGAATAGCCAGGTCCCCAGTTAAGGGGACTCGGTTGGTAGTAGGGCCCCAGAGACCCTAAGTAGGCCAGAATCACTGAATCAGGTCTGCCGTAGCTGGTGTTTTTGTTTGGGTGACGGCAGTTCCGGTTAGTGTAACGGGGCGGGGGGGGCGCCCCCCAGAACACATTTTTAAACCAGGTCCCACTGAACCCAGCTCTGCCAACGCCCGATGAAGGAGAGTCAAGCAGTGGCGAAGCGTCATGACTCGCCTATAGGCCCACCAAAGGATGTTCCAAGAACCTTTCGTGATCTGCACGAAATGTTGTTGGAACACTTCTGGCAGAGACTATGCTGTTTTGACGAATGTGGGTTGTGGTCTAAGAACATTGCTTTTGTGTTTCTGGCATTTGCGGGTTCTAAGAACATCTCGTGGTAGGCATATGCATATAGGAATGTTGGGACGGTCGGTCCCTGCTCAAGAAAGTCCGAAGTTTGTTCCTTAATTGTTCAGCCTCCAGGGGTCTCCCGTGCTACTGTGCCCTTCAAACAGCTGCCCAGGGGCGGAACCCAGAACGGATGCCCTCTAAGGGTGCTGCGCAAGGGCGGAAGAGCGCGAAGATAATCTCGCATCGCGGGGAGCGATGCACGATTTTACGGTCGGGAACCCTGGAAAGCGTGTCGCTCGTGTCACTCCGGCGGTTCCTGCCCTCTGAGCTTTGGCGCGGGACCCATTTCCCGATCCAAAACGTCAGCCTCCCGAGCCTTTCCAAGCTTCCCGCCCCGCGGAGCGGAGCAACACGCTGTCCGTTTGCAGGGCACAGCGTGTCGCCAGGGCCGCCGTGGCGACACGCTAAGCACATGCTCCTGACCGTAATCTCGCCTCGCGGGGCGCGATGCGCGAAGGTGGGTGACCCGGGTTCAGGATTAAGTCGGGCCTGTCCCCCTCACAGGGGGATCTCTGAGAAAAACACTACAATAGGCCAAACATCTGCAAACATGGTCACGAAATGCTCAAAACATCGCCCCCTGACTATGCTTTGACTATTTTTGAGCACTCCTGCTGTAGAGGGACAGGCCCGACTGAAGTCCAGGACCCGTTGCCGCCAGGGAGCCCGCCTCATCGCGCGCCAGGAGCCAGGAGAAGGCAGCGCCCGCGGCGCCCAGGCGCGCCGAGGACCGCCGAGGCAGGCCGCTCGAGGCCGAGTGGGCCATGCGGTGCCAGAAACCGGGGTCCGTGTTTCCAAGGGCGCCCGCGAGGGCATGAAGACGTTCGCGGTTCGCGGTTCGGCTCCGCATCCCCTTCCTCCTCTTCCTCGCGTTCTGGGCTGGGCGCGAGGGCGCGAGGTAGTTCACGCCTCGCACAGCGCCAAGCGCCAGCCTGGGCGCGTGTGGTCTTCAGGCCTCCCAACTGGGACCGGAGTAGATGGGGTCGGAGGGTCGCGCCGTGTCGCCGATGCACTGGTGATGCATCGGCGGTGTGGTGCGATCTTCCCGTATCTACTCGGCCAGCCTCGTCAAGTCAGAATCTTGCCGTACAGGGGGAGTAGAAGGATCGGGAACGCCCAGTCAGACTACAGTGGAGGCCCATGCCAAGAAGCACCCTGCTTGCCGCCAGGGTGCCCTGGGTTTCTTAGGTTACGATGATTTTGCCATGGAAAGCGTGACGTCCCCACACCAAAAATCTATGGACGTCCTGGGGTCTCAGGGTTGGGTTTCTTGTGAAAGGTTTCTTGTGGACTGGCCTCCACTGTATGGGCCATCCGCCTGACCAGACGTGGCGGGAGGGGTGAGGACGAGAATGGGGGGGGAGGGAGAGAGGAGGGAGGAGGGAGGAGAGGGGAGGACGGAGGGGGAAGAGGAGGGATGAGGGAGGGGCCAGCATCTCCTCGTGTTCTGTGTGTGTGTGTGTGTGTGTCTCTCTCTGCTCGTGGACGTCATCACCGTGTATTGTGTTAGTCCTTTGAGCTCATTCCGCATCTTCTTCACCCTCCCTTTCCTGTCACGCCCTGTTCTCCCCCTCGCCCTCCCCCCCATCCCCAACCAACTCCTCCTCGTCATCCTCACCCACTCCCTTCTTATCATCCTCCTCATCCTCTCCGTTCTCCCCCCACCCCCCCTTCTCCTCCCGCCCCTCCAACCTCCTCCGCCTCCTCCCCCTTGCCTCCTGCCTCCTCCCCCCATCCACTCCCCCTCCGCCCCGCCCCCCCCCCCTCTTCCGCCCCCCGACCCCTGTCGACCCCATCCTCCTCCGCCTCTTCGCCTCGCGCTCCCTCTCGCTTCACTTCGCTTCTCCCTCCCTCCCCGGACGCCCTCCGGCACGATTCCGAGGCGGGAACATGACCACCGCCTGGAGAGTCAGTTTTCGGAGCCTCGGCAGGCGGTGGATATGGACATATTCGGGCCCCCGGGGGCCGAAATATATCCATGTCCACTGGGGCACCAGGACGTCGGTTCCCAGGCGGCGGCCCCCCAGAGTTAAGTCGGGCCTGTCCCTCTACAGGAGAAATCTTCAAAGATTGTCAAACAATTGTTTTAGCATTGTTTGCTTATTTTGGTGTATGATTTGGATATGTTTAATGTTTTCTCCCAAAATCAGCCTGTAGGGGACATGCCCGACCTAACCCCAGAGACCGAAGTCGAGGAACACCGTCCAGGTTGAAGAGAAACACTCTAGGATCTGGGTTTTAAGGTCATAACTATCCATCGGTCGTCGAAAGTAGGTGTTTTCGGATTCCCATGTTCCAATCTACTTGTTGGGCGCCTTCCTACCTCAAGGATCGAGTGGTTTCACCTTTTTCCGTCCTCTTCAGAGGGCGGGTGGGCACCCAACCTACGTTCAATTCAATGATCTCGCGGCCTCTCTTTTTCCGTCCTCTTTAAGGGGCGGGCGGACACCCAATCTACTTACAACGCCTGCCTACTTCATGTTTCCACCTACTCCTTCCGACCGATGGGGACGGTCTCCAGCGGCCGTCCAGGACGACCCTGGCACGCCCAGAGCGCCCTCGGCCAGGCGCAGCCGCTGCAAGGGGGCCCCGAGGCTGGAAAGCCTCGGGGGGGGGCCGACCGACGTCGCCCGAACGCCTCGAACCTCATGTTGCTCCCATCGTACTTGAGGACCACATCCCAGAAATGATTTCGAGCACCCAGAAAAGTGCCGAAGCAGTGTCGAGCGGGTGTCGCCTCCCAGGGCCCGACGCGCGGAAACCCTCCCGTTTCGGTGCCTCCTCGGTGTTCGCGATCCTTCCTGGCGGCCAAGGCCAAAGTAGATTCCAACCTCATGACTCGAACCTCCAATCTCGCACCGCCTCCCGATTCGGAGACCTCGAGGCCTTCTTCGGGGCGGCCAGAGACGGGGAACGCCACTCTCCGCTTGTGGTTCAGCCCCTGGCTCGGGAGGCCCTGGGCGCACACTGGGGCACGAGGGAAAGCCCGGGCCCCCGTCAAGCTGCGCGCCCGCTTGCGAAGCCCAGCTGAGCCCCCCTTCACGGTGGGTTCGCGTCGTGTCGACCGGCAGCGACCCCGCCGCCAGCGTGCACCGCTGAAGCGCCGCCGGCGACCCAGAATCAATCGATGTTGGACGATCGAGCGTCTCGGAAACGGCCGACGATCGTTCAAGGCTGAAGGATCCATCGCGGCGTCAGAAACCAACGCCAGGGTTGACACCACGTGAACTTGCCGTACGCAGGCCCCGACTTCTCCTCCCCGTGCAGCCCCCGTTGCCGCAGAGGAGGAGGGAGGAGGAGGGAGGAGGGAGGAGGGAGGAGGGAGGAGGGAGGAGGGAGGAGGGAGGAGGGAGGAAGGAGGAGGAGGAGGAGGAGGAGGAGGAGGAGGAGGAGGAGGAGGAGAGGAGGAGGAGGAGGAGGAGGAGGAGGAGGAGGAGGAGGAGGAGGAGGGACGTGAGAGGAGGAGGGAGGGGGGGGGGATGGAGGAGGAGCCCCTGGGCGCGCGCGCCAGGCCGCCCTCCTCGCCGCGCTCTCGATGGGGGCGTGCGCCACGCGCGTGCGTCTGCGCGGCCCGGCGGACGCCGTGGACCTCAAGGCCGCCTCGCCTCCGTCGGGGGCGGCAAAGGGGGGGTGAGACCTAAAGTTTTTGTTTGACGATTCTTTATATTGGAGAGGCCTGACGGCCGGTGCCGCCGACCCTGATCGAAAGGGCTAGGAGTGGGGGGAGGAAGCGGAGGATGAGGAGGAGGAGGAGGAGGAGGAGAAGGAGGAGGAGGAGGATGAGGAGGAGGAGGAGGTGAGACCGAAAGTTTTTGTTTGACGATTCTTTATATTTCTCGTCCCCACTCCGCCTGCAGGGGGACATGCCCGACCTAGTCAAGACTGGCCTCCACTGCACGGTAGGTTCGTATCGTGTCGACCGGCGGCGACGCCGCCAGCGGCGTTCAACGTGGAACGCCGCGGGCGACCCAGAATCGTTCGATGTGAACGATTTGGACGTTTCGGAAACGGCCGATCGTTCCGGGTCGAACGATCCCCGCGGTGTCAGGAACCTGCGCCGAAGGCGGCACGACACGAACCTGACGTACTCCCCCCGACGCTGTGCCCGAGCAGGGTCACGGTCTCAGCCTCTCCGGAGAAGCCGGGCCAGGGCTGCCAGATCCGTGGCTGCCAAGATGGAGCTCTGGGAAGCTGCCGTCGGCCTTCCGGAAAGCAGCCCGTGGACTGTTTCAATTGGGCGTTGCGTAAGGGGGGGGTCATAAATGGGGGGGCGGCGAGGGTGGCCCGAAAAGGTACCCAAACGGTGCCTAAACGAGCCCCCTGGGGCTCTGGAGGGGCCCGAAGGGGGCACGAGAGGGGACCTTTTCTGACCCCCCCATTGGTGACCCCCCCATGAAGCAACGCCCAAGTTTCGCGTGCCGCGTCTCATTCCGGGAAGCTGTTCTTTCTCTTTCCAGGAGGGCCGTTTCAGCAGCCACGGTTTCAGCAGCCCTCGCCCAGCTTCCGAGCCTCGCTGCTGCAGCGAGGCACCCCGCGCCTCCTGCCCAGCGCCCAGGGGGGGGCGCCGGCCCCGAGCGCCGACCCCCGCCCTCGGAGGTGGACACCGCGCGCCGAAGCCGCCCGCGCCACGCGACCGTTTCTTTTTTTTGATCTGGCGTGCCGGGGGGGAGGAGGAGGAGGAGGAGGAGGAGGAGGAGGAGGAGGAGGAGGAGGAGGCCTGGCCAGGCCGATCCCTGGGCCCAGGATCGGTGCGCACTCTCGACCAGTGCCCTCCGCACCTTCCGCGCGGAGCGTGCCGCTGCGCTGCGGCCTCGACGGCGGCCGCCGCAGCGGCGGAAGGAGAGGGCCTCCTCAGAAGGTGCGGAAGTCCCCCAGCCTCCTGAGGAGTTCCCTGGGCCTTCCCCGAAGACCAAGGCAATCTCAGCAGGCGCGAGGGCTTCTGAGAAGGCCCGCCGCATTCTGAGCAGGCCGTCTCCTTCTCACTTCCCCCCCTTGCTCGCCGCCGAGACATTGGGCAGAAAGGGGAGGGGGTGGGAGGGATCTGGCTCAGGACCTCTGCTCAATGCGGCTGTCTGGGACCGTGCGTCCTACGGGAGAGACTCCACTTGCTCGAAACAGGCGCCAAAAGCAGCCAAGATTTGCTCCACGGGGGAGGGGGGAGGTGGGGGGGTGCGAGGGCCCGCGACGATCGGCAAAAGAACGAATAGAACAACGCTCACCCCCCCTCGGCCAGGGCTCGTTTCGATTCCTCCGATTCGATTCGATTCTGTGTTGATGGATTCCGACTCGATTCGACGTCGGATTCCGATTCGGGTGCCGAGTCATCAGTGGAGGCCTACCAGCCTCCCGATTTTTGTTCGCCGGTTCGACTTCTCCCGACCTGGCCGACGAGCTCCGCCGATCCGCACCAGTTCGACCGCCGCTCCGACGTGTCGATGCGATGCTGGGCCCTCCTGCGTGCGGGGCGCCCCGTGCACCCACCTGGAGAGTCGGGGCGCCCCCCGTGCGCCCCCAGCCGCTCGCCCCTCGACATTCGACGCGCTCGCAGCTGCCAGCCGCCACGCCGGTGGTCCACAGGCGCTGAAGAGCCAGGTGCTCGGCTCGCGCGTCTTCGAGGACAAGGTGGCCCAGCTCTGCAAAGGCCGGCTCCCGCGAGGGCACGCTCCGTCCTCCGCCCGTCCGCGTCCTCCTCGCCCTCCTGCCCCTCTTCCTGGGGCGTGCTGGTTTTCGGGGGCCTGGTGCCCCCTGGCCCTCGTGGGCCTCCCCCGATCGGAACCTGCGTTGGGCTGGTCTCCTCCCTGGGGTCGGGGTAATTACGCGCCCGTAGCGGCGAGCGAGAAAATTCTCGAGGTAGTCTCAACAGTCTCAACAGCCTCGCCTTCCTGCCCGTCCTGGCCCATTTCTCGTCTCCCCCCTCTCGCCCGCCTCCTCCTGCTGTCTCGCACCCCTCCTGCTCCTCCTGGCCACCTCCACCCCGTCCTGCTCCTCGTGCTCCTCGTTCTCGACGCCCACCCCGTGCCGTTCCACCCCCGCCCGCCCCCGTCCTCCCCATCCCCCTCTGCCCGTTGAAGCTGTGTCTGGATCTGAGCAGAGAATACAGTCAACCCCCATAGTAAGGATGGGCAACCTTCCCAAGAGTACCCTTGCATCCTTGCCTCCTCGGTCCATCCTTGGCCAGTTTCGTTGGCCGCGTTGTGCTCGAAAAGCTTCGAAATGGCCCTCCAAGGCCCTTGCATCCTTATCCCACATCCTTACTACACGGGTTGATTGTAGGAGGTGATGGGCGTTGGCTGGAACCAGGGGGGGAGAACTGGTCAAGCCACAGGAGGATCAGTTCAATCAGCCCCCACCAAGAGTGCAGCAAACTTGGAGCCCGTAGGAGGATGGTCAAATCCCTTCCCGAAAAGGAAGCATAGCTTTTGGTAGAAGCGCTGAGCCGCTAAACCACCTCTCAGACCTATGCCCGGAGAGCTGGTGGCAGTATATACAGTTTGTGTTCGCTCGCAGTGTCTGCTGCAACGACCAGTGTCTGTTTCTGCTGGGATGTATGTTGCGGATGTAGACCGCATGTGATCATGCATTCGTTTGAACCGTCAACCGTCCTCTGTAACGCAGCATCCGCACTCATAGCAAGATGAACGTGACTGTCGGTAATGATCATCGTCAAGTGTTTTGTCTCGGTCGCCGTCCTCGTTTGCTGAGTGGGTTGAAATGCCACGAGAGTGTTGCACAGAAACTGCAGGCTTGTCGTCGCATGTAGGGCCATCGAGATTGATAGCTCGGCTGGAGCACGTAAACATGTGGCACTTCTGTTTGACCTGGTGCTCCGAGCAGTATTGCGGAGACCTTCGCGCCTTCTGATGTCTGGAACATGTATGCGAAATTGTAGCGGATTCCGACGGCTAAAATGGGTTTGTGGAATTGACGTGTGGTGATCACAAGTTGTACAATTGCAAAGCTGCGCCATCTTGCATGATGGTTCAAATTCGTTGGTTTTCCGAGTCAGCGTTGTAATACCCGCTTGCGCTCCTCCGGAGTGCAGTCATTCCTGAAACCACTGACCACTTAACGTTTGGATTGCGCTGTCGATCAACAAAGCAAACGCTCTTACCATTCATCCTCCTCTCTCTGCTTCTTTCTTTCAAGGGGAGCACCTAGATCCAAGCTCAATGTATCAATGTGTCACTTAACGTTTGCTCTTTCCATTATTCCTCTTAGCATTCCTTGCTTCCTCTATATTATCACATCTTTATGCTCGTCCTCTTCCCCGCCCATCATACGATGCACTCATTAGATTGTTGTCATCCTCGATGTTCTCCTCTCTCGTTGTAAAGTGAGCACGCCCAGTATTGTACCATTTTGCCAGCATGTTCTCCACGGAAATCCCGTATCCCCCGACGACCTTGTGGACCCTATAGGGACACCATGGGAGGCTCAAACATCGCGGGCAGGTGGGACCTTGGATGCTTGCAGCAAGGCCTCGCACCGCATTCGAGGAACAAAAGGTTGCATAACCATGAATGAGTTCCGCGCAGATTCGGCGCGCCAGGGAGGGGGATCCAGCGCCGATCCAAGAGATCTGCGCGGAACTCCGAACATTGGTATGTTGGTGTTGTTGGCTCGCCGACGCAGTGCGAAGGCCTTACGGCTGGTGCGCCGACCTTGTTCGCTAAAAGGAGGAGGAGGAGGAGGAGGAGGAGGAGGAGGAGGAGGAGGAGGAGGAGAAAGGCGAGGAGGAAGGCGAGGAGGAGGAGGAGGAGGAGGAAGAGGAAGATTGGAGGGGCGAGGGGGAGAGCGGGAACGGCGACGACCACGACGACGACGACGACGACGACGACGACGGCGACGGCGACTGCGACGGCGAATTGTTTCTGCCACTGACTTCGGAGAGGTGCGACGAGCGTGCGTGCAGCGGGCCGAAGCGCGCGGGCCTCGAGGGGCCGCCGCGGGGGCCCGCAGCGCCTCGCCTGTGCCCCGCAGGCGCCGCGGAGGGCTGCGCGGAGAGGGCCTCGGACCAGCTCTTCTGCCAGCTGCTGAAGCGCTCCGGCTCCTCCCCTCCCTCCCCGCGCCTCCGTTGTTCGACGAGGGTGGCCCAGGCCCGTCGCCTCTTGGTTGCCCTGTGTCTCAGGAGCCAGCGGTCTCGTGGAGATGTGGCCGGCCTGCTCTGCACAGTCCTGGATGGTCCTGCGCTCCCGCTTCTCCTCGCCTCCCCCGCCTCTCCTCCTCTCCTCTCCTCCTCCCTCTCCTCCGGCTCCTCCCTCCCTCCCCACGCCTCCTCCTCTCCTCCTCCCTCGCTCCCGCTCCTCCTCGCCTTCCCGCCTCTCCTCGCTCCCTCGCTCCCTCGCGTCGGCGCGGCCCCTCCTGCTCCGAGCGGGGGCCGGGCTCCGACTCGTCTCTCCGGAGGCGTGCGCTGCTCCTCCCCATCTCCTCCCCCCCCTTTCCTCCCTTCTCCTCCTCCCTTCCTTCCTTCCTTCCTTCCTTCCTCCTCCTCCTCCTCCTCCTCCTCCTCCTCCTCCTCCTCCTCCTCCTCTTCCTCTTCCTCCTCCTCCTTCCGCTCCGCTTCTCCTCCCCCCCCTCCTCCCTTCTCGTCTCCCTTCACCCCCTCTCCCCCTGCTCCTCCTCCAGCTTGTCATCCACGTCCTCTGCTCCTATGATGAGGATGCGGATGAGGATGCTGATGATGCTGATGCTGATGCTGATGATGCTGATGCTGCTGATGCTGATGCTGATGATGCCGATGATGATGATGGTGATGATGATGATGATGATGGTGGTGGTGATGGTGATGGTGATGGTGATGATGATGGCGACCGAGCGAGAAAGCACCCCTCCCCAAAGCCTGGTCCGGGGGGGGGCGCTTTCGCATTGTGCAGTGTAAACGAACATTATCCCAGCGCGACCCCACCTAGGAGTTGGAACCCCTAGGAAAGCAGCATTAGTAGTAACAGTAACGCTAAGCTAAAGCTAAGCTAAAGCTAAGCTAAAGCGAAGTTGAAGCTAAGCTAAAGCTAAGCTACAGCAAAGCTACAGCTAAGCTAAATATAAGCTAAAGCTAAGCTGAAACTAAGCTAAAGCTGAGCAACAGCTAAGCTAAAGCTAAGCTACATCTAAGCTGAATATAAGCTAAAGCTAAGCTACAGCTAAGCTAAAGCTAAGCTACAGCTAAGCTCAAGCTAAGCTAAAGCTAAGCTAAACGCTAAGCGAAAAGCTAAGCGAAACGCTCAGCTAAAGCTAAACTACAGCTAAGCTAAAGCTAAGCTAAAGCTAAGCTAAAGCTAAAGCTGAAGCTAAAGCTAAAGCTAAAGCTCCCAGGGGACTGGGGGGAACCGCTCCCAGGGGACTGGGGGAACCGCCCGGGGCGCTTTGCACTGCCCGGCCCCTTTAAGCTAAGAGAGTAAGAACCCTTCTAGGCAGAGCCTAGGTAGGGAAATATAACAACATTATCCCAGTGCGACCCTACCTAGGAGTTGGAGCCCCTAGGAAAACAGCAGTGGTAGTAGCAGTAAAGCTAAGCTAAAGCTAAGCTAAAGCTAAGCTACAGCTAAGCTACAGCTAAGCTAAAGCTAAGCTAAAGCTAAGCTGAAGCTAAGCTGAAGCTAAGCTAAAGCTAAACTGAAGCTAAGCTAAAGCTAAGCTAAAGCTAAGCTGAAGCTAAGCTCAAGCTAAGCTAAAGCGAAGTTGAAGCTAAGCTAAAGCTAAGCTAAGCTAAGCTGAAGCTAAGCTGAAGCTAAGCTGAAGCTAAGCCAAAGCTAAGCCAAAGCTAAGCTAAAGCTAAGCTAACACTAAAGCTAAGCTGAAGCTAAGCTAAAGCTAAGTTGAAGCTGAGATAAAGTTGAGCTAAAGCTAAGCTAAAGCTAAGCTAAAGCTAAACTACAGCTTAGCTAAAGCTTAGCCAAAGCTTAGCTAAAGCTTAGCTAAAGCTTAGCTAAAGCTAAGCTAAAGTTAAGCTAAAGTTAAGCTAAAGCTAAGCTAAAGCTAAGCTAAAGCTAAGCTAAAGCTAAGCTAAAGCTAAGCTAAAGCTAAAGCTCCCAGGGGACTGGGGGAACCGCGGGGCGGGGACTGGGGGAACTGCCCGGGGCGCTTTCCTCTCCGGCCCCTTTAAGCTAGAGAGTAAGAACCCTTCTAGGCAGAGCCTAGGTAGGGAAAAAACCTTGGGGCATAATTTTGTTGGGTGATATCACCGCACACTCCCACACCCGCCATATTTTTAGGGTGGTATGTGGAAGCTGATATTGTAACCGTCTCACCTTCGGTCCCCTCCCCCTGCCGTGCAGCAGCTTCGAATAGTTCATCGGGTCCCGTTGGATGTCTTTGTTGGAGATTTCTTTGGAGGAGGAGGAGGAGGAGAAGAAGGAGGAGGATGGGGAGGAGGGAGACGAGGAGGATGAAGAGGAAGAGGAGGAGGAGGAGAGGAGGAGGAGGAGGAGAAGGGGAGGGGGAGGGGGAGCCCGAGGACGTTCGGAACGCCAGGCAGCGACCGATCGCCAGGCAGAGGCCGAGCGCCACGAAGCGCGGAAGCGGCGGCGGGAGCCCGCGCCCGTGCGGCGGCGAGGGCGAAACGCGGCAAACACGGTTATAAAGGCGCTTAGGGGTGGAAAAGGAAGCTGGCACCTGTGCCGCTGGGGCTGCTATAGTGGCGCCCCAGGAAAACAGGCGGGTTGGCAGCCCGATCGTCGTCACAGCTCGACGGGGTTGTGGGAGAGGCTCCTGCCCTGTGGTTGGCCGGCCACAGTAGGTGCGGGCCCTCTGTACCACCCCTGAGAGGCCCGATGGGGTTACTCGAAGAGGTCCCCCGACGTGGGGGGGCGTGGGAATTGAAGTCCTTGGGCAGCGGGGTCTCCGCTACTTGAGGCCGGCGGCCAAGTGGATGTGGTACCAGTGGCCGTGTCTCGGCGTGGCATCTCGAGGCACCTCGCAACGGCGGCGCAGATGTGACGCCTGGGGCGGGTCTGTGCTGCCGTTCATGTTGCGAGGTCCGACTGCATGTGGATTCGTGCAGGCATCTTGGGCACGTTCTTTCTGGTTGTGTTGCCCATGTGTTCTGTCCAGGCACAAGAACAGGCGAAACGGAACGGCGAACAGGGAGGCCAGCGCAGCAAGGACAAGTGCTACCTCCAAAGGCTATCCTCCTCCCTCCCATTTCCCCTTGTATATATATATATATATATACACACGTATGTATTGTATCATTATTTCTCGGGCAGCTCTGCTGCTGGCGGACGCGAGGCGGCGGGGTTGCTTCGGCGAGGCCTGATGGCCGGAAGCAGCGATCGCAGCGATCCCAGCGCCATCAGACAGCACGGCAGTGGTCCCAATTTACGACCGGGAGGAGCAGAGGAATGGTATGAACCGGAGGCGCGGACCCGGGCACGACGCTCTAGCCCGCCAGCGGCGCCCGACGTGCCCCGCGCTCAGCCCGGTGCGCGGGCGACGACGCCAAGGCCGAGGCCGAGGCCGAGGCAGGGCGCGCCGCGGTGCACGCCGAATGTCGACGAGCAGAAGCACCTGGCCTGCCTCCTGGCTGGTGGCGTGAGGGGACGCATTCTCGGCCTGCCCCTCTCCGCAACCCCACCCTCCTTTCCATCGACAGATGGTGGCGAGCTGAGTAGGGGGCCAGTCGACGAGCTCTTCGACTCGGGCCGCTTTCTGCGAAGGAATGCGGCGAAGACAACGGCGACGACGGCGGCGACGACGACGGCGGCGGCGGCGACGACGACGACGACGGCGACGGCGACGACGACGGCGACGACGACGGGGGGCCAGACGGCGACGGCTGCTGCGACGGCGGCGTCGGCGGCGTCGACGGCAACGTTGGGGACGACGAACGGAGACGACGACGACGAAGACGACGTCGACGACGACGACGACGGCGACGACGACGATGGCGACGGCGACGACGACGATGGCGACGCGACGGCGACGGCGACGGCGACGGCGACTGCGACGACGACGGCGACGACCTCGCCGTCGGGCGCCAGTTGGGGGGATCACACCGCCCAGCCACCTCTTTAGGGGCGGAGTGCGGAAGCGCGCGGAGGAGCGCAGAGGGAGCTGAGCCCCGTACATAGGTCCGCGCGGCCCGCGCCCCTCCTGCGCCGAGGGCGACCGAGGGCGACGGGGAGGCGTGCCCGCCGCTAACCCCAGGAGTCCGCGCGGATCTCCGACAGCTCATGGCGACGCGGCCGATTTCCCATGCGGGAAGACGGCGCCGAAGAGCCCCCTGGCTGAAACGGAAGAGCACTCCACGCTGCCCTCTCCGAGATGACGTCTGCACGCGCAGGCTTCTCGACCCTGTGCTGCAATCGGGGAGTCCCCAAGTTGTGGGGGAGGGGCCCCCTAGAGTTTTGACACCGGCGGGAACAGAATGCCTCCCGAACGCCTTGCGGCCACCGACCCCGTCGAGCCATTCGAGACGCGGCCATGCGCAGTTAGCGAGCGCGCGAGCGTGCTCCCCCCCCCCTGCTTCCCAGGCGCCTGGCCTCCCTGCATGGGTCGCGCGCCGCGCCCCCTCTTCTGCCCCGCCGCGTCTTGGCAGGGGCGGCCCCGCGTGGCGCGCGGTTGCCGCGTTGGCCTGGGAATCACAGGGGACCCGCAGCGGTACTCCAGATTTCGTAATAGAAGGGAGGGGGTCTGGACCCTCCAAGACAAGCCATTTCAGACCTCCCCCGTGGGAAGACCCTCCAAAACACCGTCCCCAGACCCCCCAGGCCCTCCAAGATAGCCTGGAAGAGACCCCCCCCCCGAAATGAGACCCCCCTCTTTTTATTACGAAATCTGGAGTAACCGGCTGGATTCCCAAGGTAGAGAACTGGAGGGTGAAGGGGGGGTCGGGCGCAGGGTCCCGGCAATGGTGTCTTCATGGGCCATGCATGGGCGATACATCCTCGGCTGCTGTGTTCGGCGGGGGAACCAATTGAAGCTCCCCGCCTGCACCCATGCGCGAGACTTGAAGGTAAGCGAAGCAAGGGGGCTGGGGGTTTGGGAAAGGCGACGAAGGAAACGTGCGCTGGGGGCGCCACGAAAGCGGTGAGGTGAGTGTCGAAACCTGCCCCGCCGATCTGACATGCGGAACACTGCGGTCATCTTTGGGGACTTTGGAAGCCCAGGGCAACATGTGAATTCACATTGTGGGGAACAGCAGAATCTGAATTCACGTTTTAGGAAATAGGAAAATGTGAATCCACATGTGGGGGAAAACAAGACAAATGTGAATTCACACTGTGGAATTGACTGTCGGAATCTTGATGAAAAAGGGGCCAGACTGTGAATTCACATGTGGGGGAAAAGGGAAGTGTGCAATTCACAGTTGGAAAAAAAAGGAACATGTGAATTCACATGTTGGGAGAATCGCGGGACCCATTCCAAAACTGCCTTGAGGGTCGACAAGTCATCGTTTGGGAACATGCGCGATCATCAATCGCACAATCAAGACACACTTGCACTCCACTTCGCCGCCCCACGCGCAATATGCAAGACCGCCCGCCCGCATGAACGATAATGTATGGACGGCGCGTTTGCTTGCGCGGGCAAGGCGCGGGCACGAACGACTGGCCATCCATGACCGCCAACGTTGGATGTCAAGCATACCCGATCACACACATGAGTGATACATTGAGCATACATGGGCCATTCAGACCCCATTGAAGACCCCTTGTTGCGGACCCCCTTTTTCACCCTCCAGAACTTGTATGTTTGTTGGTTTGTTTCTTCGATGGATAATGCACCACTCTGCGCGCGCGCCGCGGCGCACGAATGCGTGCGTTGGGGTTCTGGGTTGTCATCAGTAGCAACGTCGCCACGTTGGCCTGGGAACTGAAATGATTTTTTTGCAGTGACCGACGGGTTGGTTTGAGTGGATATCGGGTCTGATGTATGTTCTTTCGATTTGGCACTGCAGAACCCTCCGCGCGCCCATCGCCGTCGCGGGCGCGCGCGTGGGGAGTTGTGTTTTGCCCCACATAGAAAGGATTGCTATATATATATATATATATGCCTATGCCTGCGAATTGGAGTGCATCATCAACGGTGACCGATTGGATTTCCAAGTGAACATTGGATCCTGTGTGTGCGTCTATGTTGGCAGTCTAGAGTTCTTCACGCGCGCGCATGGGGAGTTATGTTTTTGTGGGTAAGCAACTAACACGCATGGTTTGGTAATTGAAGTGACCCCTAGCGGTTACCGATTTGGGTGTCCGTGAACATGGGTTTCCGTGTTCGCGTGCGTGGGAACTCCATCGTTTTCATATAGCAAACTCTATACACCGACGTTTTTCGTCCGACCCTGCGCTGAAATTCGCACAGGAACGCGGATTCGCGTGTATACGGGATCTTGGTGTGTACATGTTTCGTTGTTTCCACGGGGCATCGGCAAACGAAAATATACACCACACCACCCCAGCGTCGTCCCCGACCTTCAAAAAGCCGCGGGTTTAAACAAAAACGCCACTGGTAATGTACATGTTCCAGTGTCCGATTCATATTCGAACAACTATTTTGCGGGCGTGGATGCATGACCGCAGAGTTATGAAGAGGTTTGTCTTCCCTCGTCCCCTTGTGATATGACGCTGCGGAACAATTGTAACATCACGAAGCATCACGACCGGAGCCTAGAACCTTTTCTTCCTGCATTTTTCGAGTCGGATCGACCTGTCACGGCTCCAGGGCCCGAAGCTATGCAAAATCATTTCGTGCGATTAAGAGATGCGGCGCCTGGTTTTCGGGGCCCTCCCCATCTTCGGGCGTCCTCGGGCGTTGCGTAATGGAGGGGGCACTGCATGTTGGGGCGGTGCAAATGCTCCGCTTGTGCCCTACACGGGGCCCTTTGCAGCCCGAAGAGGGTACGAAACGTCCACGTTCCCTCCCTTCCCCCGCCTTTTTACCGACCCCTTCTTAAGCAACGCCCAACATCCCCACCCACACCATTCCCCCACTCCCCGTCCTCCCCGCACCCTCCGCCCTCCCAGCTTCGACCCCCCCAGTTGGTCGATTATCCTCGGAACGTGTGTCAGCCCAGTACGGGTGTTGCCCCATTCGGTTCCGCCGATAGCATGCAGCTTGTGTCGGCCCAGTCTAAGCCGCCTGCGTCGTATTGCAGAGCTTAGGTGGACAAACATACGTTGGCGCTGTAGCAGACGTTAAGCGGATCATCGGCTGAGCAACGCCCCCCCCCCCCTCCCGTCCCCTCGAGGTTCTGCCGCTGCCGACGAGCAGTGCACCGGCGCCGCGGCGATCGCAGGAGCGCGGAGTGCCTTTTTTGCCGTGCCCCCGTATCGTGTCACCGATCCGCATCACCGTTGGGCCATGGTATCCAAGGGGGCCGGCTCCGAGGGGGCCACTGGAGAGGGAGGTCGCTCGCATGTTGGAGGACGGCGGGATGTGAGCACAGCAGAGAGTAGCAGCGCAGGAGTGAGTCACACGCGCGCATTCGGTTTCTGCAAGTAGGGCGCGTCTAGCAGCCTTGTTGGCGGCAGGGTCGATGTCACAAGAAGTTGTTGATAGAGCTGTTTCGGGCACGCGTGAGGTTCAGGGCTACGGAGCTTCTGATATGCCAGGCACGCAAGTCGTTTTGCTGCCCAGGCACAAACCATCCAGAGGGAAGGGTCGGGGCGGGAGTCGGGGGAGGGGGACGAGTCGTGGAAGGAAAGGAGAGTCTGGCGCCTGAGCGCTGAGAGCTCCAATCCCTAGATGCGCGCCTGGGGGAGCCTCCTCAGCCTAGGAGCCATTGCTGCCTCTGTGCAGAGTGAGGCCGCATCCAGTCTGGAGGTGATTCAGCAGTTGGCTGCGTAGAAGCCCCCCCAGAGTTCTAAGGTTTCAACGCTTCAGTCGCGTGTGCCCTAGAGGACTGCATGGGCCCTGATCTGATCTGATCATCATCAGCATCATCATTTTCATATTGGTAGCGATGTTGAGGATTATGGTGTTGATTGATGATGATGATGTTGATGCTGCGGCTGCTGATAGTGATAAGTGTGATGCTGGTGATGATGATGATGATGATGGTGATTATGATGCTGATGACGATGACGATGACGACGACGATGACGAAGTTGATGTTGATGACGATACTCATTATGATCATCATGATCGTGATGATGTTGATGAGTATACATACATATGTATATGTAATGTTGGTGATGATTATGATGATGACGATGCTGATGACGATGATGATGGTAATGGTGATGGTGACGATGATGACGATGTTGATGATGGTGATAACGGTGACGATGACGATGACGACGATGATGACGGAGTTGATGATGATGATGACGATACTCATTATGATCATCATGATGGCGGTGATGTTGATGAATACGAATATACATATATACAGAAATGATGTTGGTGATGATTATGATGATGCTAATGATGATGATGATGATGCTGATGATGATGATAAAGATAAAGATGATGATGATGGTGGTGGTGATGATGGTAATGGTGATGGTGATGATGATGCTGATGCTGATGATGATGATGATGATGATGATGATGATGGTGGTGGTGGTGGTGGTGGTGGTGGTGGTGATGGTGGTGGTGGTGGTGGTGGTGATGATGATGATGGTGGTGGTGATGGTGATGATGATGGTGTGGGATACTGTGGGTGCTCTCTCGGAGGCGTGTGTGACGCAGTCTCGAGTCATCTTGGGGGCCGTCTGGCGGCCTCTTGGAAGCCTCTTGTGGGCCTCTTGGAGGCCTCTTGGGGGCCTGGCGTCTTGGGGTCTCCTGGGGGCCTCTTCGGGTGAAAGGCTGGAATTGTCGGTTCGCGTTCCCCCTCTTGGGCCCCTTTTGGGCCGTCTTGGGGCTCTCTTGGGCTGTTTTGGGCGCCTCTTGGCCGTTTGGGGGCTGTCTTGGGCAGTCTATGGTGGGGCCGTCTTGGAACGTTGGGAGCTTGAAAAGGGGATGACGCAAAAAACATTGAGAACACACCATGAGCACGAATCACTTGTGCATCTTTTGGCCCTCGTGGGGGTCCTCCTGGAGCGCTCTCGGGGCTTCTTTTGGGCCTCGTAGGCGGTCTTGCATGCATCTTGGGCCATCTCGGCGGCCCTGTTGGCCTCCCAGGTCCGACTCGGAAGCCATCTTGGGCATGCTGGACGGCTTGGAGAGCGCCAGGGACGCGCCTCGAGGCCAGCAGAGCCTCGGGAAGCGGGGCCGGTGCGCGCGACGAGGTGCGGCGGGGAGAAAGGGGGGTTCCTTGAGAAGAGAACAGAAACCCTGCCAGACAGCACTTGACATTCTAGCACGCCTCGACGTGCCATGGGGCACGGTGGCGGATCCCAGCCCCACCCTCCCACTTACCGAGTTGGGGACATGCCACGCGCAACCCAGGGGGACAGCGTGTATATATATATATATATATATATCTCTCTATATATATATATATTCATACATATATATAAGAAAAAGGGGAAACCGGCCAGTGGGGCAACGCCACGCCAGTGGGGATAGGGCTCGGATAGGGCCACGCCGGTGGGGAAGCTTCGGGCGGTTGCCCTTTACGATCGACGCGGGTACGGAGAGAGCGGGCACGGAGACCGACAGCTGTTCCTGTTCGCCCCGAAGGGCGTCTGTGGGCGGCGTCGCCGCGGGCGGGCCAAGGCCACGTCGGTGGAGGTAGGGATCGGCAAGACGATGCTCTGTGCCCCCCTCCGCTGCGGTCGGGTATAGCCAGGCGAGGGAGGAGCCTCCTCCTCGCTCCTCCTCTCCTCCTCCTCCTCCTCGCTCCTCCTCCTCCTCCTCCTCCTCCTCCCTCGCTCCTCCTCCTCCTCCTCCTCCCTCGCTCCTCCTCCTCCTCCCTCGCTCCTCCTCCTCCTCCCTCGCTCCTCCTCCTCCTCCCTCGCTCCTCCTCCTCCTCCTCCCTCGCTCCTCCTCCTCCCTCGCTCCTCCCTCCGCGGCGGTAAGGGGAGCCGGATAGTGATTGGGCTCCGAAGCCCAAAGTATGGATTGGAATCACGAAACCATCTATGCCGTAGCCGGTGCTTTTCGCGTGACGGCCTTTCTGGTTAGCGGAATGCGACGGGGTGGGCGTCCCCGGTACAGATCACTAAACCAGGTCCCACCAAATTCGGGGGCGGTGATGACTAGGGGGGTGGATATCATGGCGTGGGTCATAATATTTCCTCAGATTTCATGACGCCTCTTCTCATTCCATTACGTCCCTGGCACCCCTCCCCCCCGGCCGCGCACATGCCGCCGGCCATGATTTGCGCCCCCCCCTCTTGGGCGCCCCCCTCTTGGCCGCCCCCGATAAACCTAGTCCTGCCATCGCCCGATGTGGGGGGGGCGGTTCCTCGACGCCGGCGTCGGCCGCGGCCGCGGCGGCGGCGGCCGCGGTGGCGGCTATCGACGGCGGCGGCTGGGGCTCCGCGAGGCCAGTGCCCGGCTGCGGGCGTCATCCTGCTATGCTCAAGTCGGGCCTGGCCTGTTCAAGCAGTGGCGAAGCGTCCTGGCTCGCCTATAGCCTATAGCCCTACCAAACAATGTTCTAAGAACCTTTTGTGGTTTCCACGAAATGTTCTTAGAACATTTCTGGCTGGGACTGTCTTGTTTTAACACATCGGGAATATGTTCTAAGAACATTGTTTTTGTCCTTAGAACATTTTTGGGTTCTAAGAACATTTCGTGGTAGGACTATGGGAATGCCAGGACGGTCGGTCCCTGCTCAAGTCTTGGACGCCCCCCTCGCGGCCGCTCCCGAAGGGAAGGTCCGTTCCCGAGCTCAGGAGGGGCTCGCTGTTCCTTGGGCCCCAGCGTGGCTGTGCCTCTGGCCCTCCTCGCGCACCTGGGCGGCTCTGGGGCCCGAACGTGCTCTGGTTCCTTGTTGAGCGTTCCTTGTTGAGTGTCCCCCTACAGGGGGATTTTCGACGAAACGTCAAAAGAATACCTTACAAATAGTCCAACAATAGTCCAAACATAGTCTGGGGACTATTTTTCGAGTGTTTTTGTTGCCCTTTTTGGGGTACTTGTGGGGTATTTCTTATGTTTCGCCTCCCTACCTCCGCCTTACCTTCTTCCTTACTTGCCTCCCTCTTACCGCCGCCTGCCTCCACCTCCCTCCACCTCACCACTCCTCGCCCCGAGCCCACTTTCGATGCCGTGGCTCCGATTTCATGGAGATTTCTGCTCGTTCAGTCCAATGCGATCACGGTTTTCCGGGGATCCGATGCGGCCCTACGTTTCCATGGCGTCGTTCTGCATCTTGGCGCAGCCGATCCGACTCGGCTTTGACCCCATGCCGATGCGGCCCGATCCGACGCAAGGTCCGAATCGTTTCGATTTCTCGACGCGATGCTGACCGATTCTGCCTCGCCGCGGGCAGACGAGAGGAACATGCACTTTGGCGCGATTGAAGATTCTCAGACTGTTGTCTTCCAATGGGTAGCTTCCTGCAGGCAGATTATTGTTTTTGTTATCATTCGCATTGCTACTATCATTATTAGTACTGGTATTATTCTTCTTATTCGTATTACTAGTATTATTATTATTATTCTTACTATTACTATTACTAGTATTATTATTATTATTATTATTATTATTATTATTATTAGTATTATTATTATTAATATCATTATTATTCGTGTTATTAGTATTATCATCATTATTATTATTATTGTTGGGACCCACGGGAAGGGAATTCCGAGGGAAGGTGTATTGCACCATCGTTGATGCGTCATGGATTTGCACTGGTTCTCCTCCTCCTCCTCCGTTTCCTCAGCCTCCGCGCGCCGCCTCCTCCTCCTCCTCCTCCTCCTCCTCCTCCTCCTCCTCCTCCTCCTCCTCCTCCTCCTCCTCCGCGCGCCGCCCTCCCCGTGCCCGTCCTCTTCCTCCACCTCCACCCCATCCTCCTCCGCCTCCTCCTCCTCGTCGTCCTCCTCCTCCTCCTCCTCTTCCTCCTTCAGACCTGCCCCTCCTCGCCCTCCTCCCCTGCCCCCCTCCTCTTCCTCCTCCGGCCCTTCCCATCCTCGCCGCGGGCAGGCGGGAGCGTGCGCGCGCGCGCCCCAGCCGCGGACGCCGCCCCCGCCACCTCGCTGCTCTCCACCGTGCCAGCGCCGGCGACGCAGCGCGCGCCGCTCCCGCCCCCCCCAGACGTGATCGCGTCGTGGAAAAATCCAGGCGGGAGGTTTTTGGGCCATGTTCGGCCTCTTGGCATCGCTCGGACGTGTGCATTTCTCCTTCGTCGAGGACCATCGAGGAGCATCCTTTATCATTTGGCGAAAAAACCACACGAAACCGAAAAAAACACAGGGAATGGATGTCCGAGCGATGGCCAGGCCTCGGGGGGCCCCCGCCGGGCCTCGGGACCGTCGAGCAAAAAGTACCCTGAGTTTCTGAGGAAGCGTTGGGGGGGGGGGCGACACCCCCGCCGAGAGCCCCACATCGACCCCCGTCGCGGGCGGCCACCGCGCGCCGAAGGCGCTCCGACCCCCGTCGCGGGGGGTATCCCCCCACGCTTATCAAGAAACTCGGAGTACTCAGGACGACAAACCGGTCCCGGGGAAACGGTCGGAACTCCAAGGGGGCCCCGTGTTGAAACAGTCAGGGCGCCGCAGGTTTGGGCCCCGAGCGGATGGTTCTTGGGCGCCGAGGGCGCGGTGCCCAGGTCGGGGGGGCAACGCCAGGGTAGGAGCACAGTTAAGTCGGGCGTGACCCTATACAGGATGAGAATTCAAAAACAGAGTCAAAAATAGTCAGGCGACGATTTGTTGACTCTCTTTGAGTGTTTTTAAGCATATGTTGGGTGTATGTTTCAAATTGTTCGTCCAACATCGCGGGCACGCCCGACCCAAGAGTACAGTCGAAACTCATAGCACGGACGCACGGATGTCCTTCGGGTACGTACCCTTGCGTCCCTGCCTCTGCGGCCCGTCCTGCGCGGCTTTCGCTGGCCAGCCTTCCAGGGTGTTGGCGGTCCGCCGACTTCGTCGTCCAAGGCCAATGCGTCCGTGCCGCCCGTGAAGGCCCAGGTGACTTCGCCCTTGCGTCGCCTCTGCGTTGCCTATAGTCCAAGGCCCTCGCGTCGCCTATAGATCGCCTTCCTTCGTCGTCCAAGGCCCTTGCGTCGCCTATAGATTTCGACTGTAGGCCCAGGTGAGCGAGGGCAAAAGTTTGCGCCGACACTGGCGCGTAAGTTTCCTGCGTGAGGTCGCGCGTAGGCGCCCTCCTCTCCGATGTGGCATGCCGCGCGGGCGGCCCGCGTGAGCCACCGCGTAAGGTCGCTAAGTCGTCTTGCGTAAGAGTCGTTTTTGTTCGTCGTTCAGGTGGGGGCACATCCCCATCGCACATAGACCGCCTATAGGGGCCCGACGGCCCAAACCCGCCCAGGAACGTGGGGATATGCTCTCGAGGGCCAATCGCCGATCTATCGGCGATGTGTTGCCGATTCCAGCTCGATGCCCCCCCGCCCCCATGAGCAAGTCCCCCCTGGTGCTGCCCCTCGCCAGATCTCCGCAGTTTTTTGCGGCCGTCTCGCGCGCTGTGCCTCGAATTCCGGGCCTGCCTCCAGGCTCGAGGCTCCAGATGTCCGGGCGTTGTCCCCGCTTCTCGCCCGAACGGCCGCCCGCTCCCCCAAGTCGAATCCGAAGCAGAGAATCGGCCGAAGTCTGCTCGCATCGAGCCGGGGGAGCGAAACATTGGCCCTGCCTGCGATGGGGGCCTGGGCGAGCAAGCGGTTAACGCCAACTGCCCCAGGCCCCCTTCTCAGGCGATCGCAAACTTGGATCAAGGGGGCGTGGATCAGCGTCGGGCCCCGCTTCCATGGGAAGTCGCGGATTTCCGCCGCCGAGCGAGGCGGCACCGGCCGCCTTTCGGGGAGGGCACCTCCCCCGATCCGTGGAGATTCGGCGACAGCGCGCCAGATCCGTGGATCGCTAATCCATGCTGGCGCGCCCCCGACCTCCGCCCCCCCCCCCCCCCCCGACCGCGCGGCTCCTGCGTGCCGAGGGTGCACTCGTCAGGCCTCCGCCGTCGACGGGCCCCCGCCGCGGCGGCGACAGCCGCCACGGCGGGGGCTCGCCGCCATGTCCGATCGCCCTTGACTGACAGCCTCGGGTGATCCAGAGACGGACGATGTGGCCTCCAGCTGGTGGATCCTCGGAAACTGGAGCATATACATCACCAGTGGCGGGCGGCTTTTTTTAATCCCAGGACTTTTCTGAGGGTGTGGGACGACGACGTCGGGGTGGTGTGGTGTATACTTGTCTCCCCGTGTTACGGGGGAAGCGACGAAGAGTGCATACACCAGGATCCCTTGTACACCAGGATCCGCTCTCCTGTGCGAGATTCAGTGCGAGGCCAGGCAAAGGCGTCGGTGTATAGAGAGTTCGGCTCCTTATATACGTTCATCCCAGGCCTCCGCCGTTGCTGCTGCCGCCGTCGCTGGCTCCAGCGCGCGCCTTCCCTCAGGAGGGGCAAAAGACACACCGACACAATTAGTCGTCGATTTCCCAGAAGATATGGGAAAGTGGGGGGGAAGGCAGAAACCCAGAAAATCTGGGAAACGATGGGGAACCTTTTTAATTGCGTATATCTATCTGTGTGTCCCAGGGCCCCCAGATTCCCGAGCGGCGTGGCTCCTGCTCGCGTGCGGCCTCCCGCGGGGCGCGCGCGCATGTTCGGGCCCCCCCCGGGGCGGGCGGTGCCCTCGGGGGGTGGGGTCCCCCCCCCCCCCCGGCGGGGGGGCGAGGCGCCGCCCCCCATGGGGTTCTTCAGGTCTCGGGCGCGTGTGCCCCTCCGCGGGGCTGGGCCTGTGCGCGCTGTGTCGCGGGACTTCGGCGGCGTGGTTTTGTGCTTCGTGCACTCTTCCAGGAGGGGGAGAGAACACACGAGACACACACGCACACACACACACACACACGCACACACGCACACACGCACACGCACACGCACACGCGCACACACAGGCACACACACAAGCACACACACACGCACAC